ATCACATTTCTAGATGGGCAAAGACTAGGGGCAAAGACAGGCTGACACACTTATTTACTGTGGAGTGCTTAATAAGAAATCTGTCTCTGATTCAGAACACCTCATGTGTGTACTCATGATAAAATTTATAAAGTTGAATATTAAAAACTCGATAGTCCGTAAATGATGCGAGACGGTATTTTACTTTATTTTTAGTTAACTTTGTATCTAATTTCTCAAATTAGAAATTTGATTTTAGAAAGTGAAATTATTTTTCTCTCTCCTCTGGCCTTCAAACCTACCACCATGACCTTCATACCTGGCAGATCATTTAAGTCATCCAGCAACTTCTTTCAACTTTTCTCCTTTCCAATTCTAAAGTTTACTCTAAATTTGCATGTTCTCCTCCTTTTATGCAGTCATGGAGGAAAAGGCGAGCTTTATCTTTTCCAAGCTAACCCACCACCTATGCCCTTGGGCCTATCTTCTCCCATTGCTTCTGAAACCTTAGGCTATTAATCAACTTCAGTCTCACTCTACTGGCTTCTTCTTCCTCCCCTCCTGGTGTCCCCAGATGAAAGAATCACAGTTCATTGTATCTGGATTCATACAAATTTCATATTCAATAGAATCCTTCCTAACAGCCTACCAAAGAGAAATCTCTAAGCTGAAATCTGTCTTTTATGCCCATAGCTGTGAAAATGCAACCTGGTGAAATTGGTCTGGATGCCAATTCATAAAAACCCACAAGATGCTCACTGCTTAGCTTCAAAAAGCCTTATGCATTCTTTCCCAGAGGAGGAAATCTGGCTGGTTTTGGTCCTTTGACAAATAGAAAGGTAAAAAATTCAAAGAATAATTGTACTTGAAGCCATATAGGATTTTAAAAATGCCATACTAAGTTATGGTAGTGTTAATCAGTTTTCTAAAGAAATAATAAAGTAAAAGAGCGGAACAGAAGATTTCAAAGGTTGGCGTGAGAAGACAGAGTAAAACATTATAATGAAATGTGCAAAGACCTGGACTAGAGTTAGAGAACCAAAAGGGAGAAATATGCGGGGCATTTCTCAAGCTGAAAGAACTGAAGAAAAAATTCAAGCCTCAAGTAGCAATACTGAAGGACTCTACACGGAAAATATTGAACAACGCAGGAAGCATCAAAAGAAAATGGAAGGAATACACGGAGTCACTCTACCAAAAAGAACTGATTGACATTCAACTGTCTCAGGAGGTACCATATGATCAATGAAGGAAGAAATTCAAGCTGAACTGAAGGCACCGGCGAAAAACGAGACTTCAGGAATTGATAGAATACCAATTGAGATGTTTCGACCAATGGATTCAATAGGCAACACTGGAAGCACTCACTCATCCATGCCAAGAAATTTAGAAGACAGCTACCTGGCCAACCAACTGGAAGACATCCATATTTGTGCCCATTCTAAAGAAAGGTGATCCAACAAAATGCAGAAATTATCGAACAAAATCATTAATGTCACACGCAAGTAAAATTTTGCTGAAGATAATTCAAAAACAGTTGCAGCAGTACTTTGACAGAGAACTGCCAGAAAGTCAAGCCAGATTCAGTAGAGGATGTGGAATGAAGGATATCATTACTGATGTCAGATGGATCTTGGCTGAAATCAGAGAATACCAGAATGATGTTCACCTGTGTTTTATTGACTATGTGAAGGATCATAACAAATTATGGATAACATTGCGAAGAATGGAAACTCCCGAATACTTAATTGTGCTCATGAGGAACCTGTACATAGACCAAGAGGCAGTCATTCAGACAGAACAAGGGGATACTGTATGGCTTAAAATCAGGAAAGGTGTGTGTCAGGATTGTATCCTTTCACCATATTTATTTAATCTGTATGCCAAGCAAATAATATGAGATGCTGGACTATATGAAGAAGAGCATGGCATCAGGATTGGAGGAAGAGTAATTAACAGCCCGCATTATGAAGATGACACAACCTTGCTTGCTGAAACAAAGACGGTTTGAAGCACTTACTGATGAAGATCAAAGACCACAGCCTTCACTATGGATTACCCTTCAACATAAAGGAAACAAAAATTCTCACAACTGGACCCATAAGCAACATCATGATAAATGAAGAAAAGATTGAAGTTGTCAAGGATTTCATTTTACTTGGATCCACAATCAACACCCACAAAAACAGAAGTCAAGAAATCAAATGATGTGTATTGCATTGGGCAAATCTACTGCAAAAGATCTCTTTAAAGTGTTAAAAAGCAAAGATGTCACTTGAGGACGAAGGTATGCCTGACCCAAGCCATGGTGTTTTTAATCACCTCATATGCATGGGAAAGCTGGACAATGAATAAGGAAGATGGAAGAAGAACTGATGCATTTGAATTATGATGTTGATGAAGAATATTGAATATACCATTGACTGCCAAGAGAATCAACAAATCTGTCTTGGAAGAAGTACAGCCAGAATGCTCCTTAGAAACAAGGATGGCAAGACTTTGTCTCACATACTTTGGACATGTTATCAGAAGTGACATTCCTTGGAGAAGGACATCATGGTTGGTAAAGTAGAGGGTCAGCGAAAAAGAGGAAGACCCTCCACTAGGTGTATTGATACAGTGGCTGCAAAAATGGGCTCAAATGTAGCAATGATTGTGAGCATGGTGCAGGATAGGGCGGTATTTTGTTCTGTTGTACATAGGATCTCTATGAGAACCGACTCAACTGCACCTAACAGCAACAACAATCAGTCTTCATTTTCTAATGTCATTTTATTAGCAGTACTTATAAACACGGAACTATTTGTATTAAGTTGATTTTCCAAATGTGATGTTTGAAAAAATTATGGAACCAAAAAACACATTCAAATAATTGTGAAAAATCTCTCAAGAAATATAAAATCATGTTAAGTTTTATTTTAGTGATGACTACATTCGTCAGATTCTAATTTTTTGAAAATTGTAAATTGGTGTATGGTATGTAAATTATCCATTCTTCATCCATTGATAATCCCATGAACTTTTTTTTTAATAGAAGACTATGTTTTCCATATTTATATTTATATTTCCTGGTCTCTCATATTTTTTTTAAATTTAGATTTAATTTTAGCCTGAGAAGAGCTTAAAATTAAAACACTATCCGTATGTTTTCAATAACTTCCATTATTTTAAATGACATGAGAAATAAATTACAATGGCATAAATGATTGGTTGACTAGTCGTATTCAACAAATTCAATTGAAAATGAATATAGGCAAAGGTTTTGGAAATTACTGAATTCTATTTATCTTCTTTAAAAGTAGCATGACTTAAAACTCACCTGCTTTAGCAACCAAATCATCTTTATTGTATTTTTTATAACACCAATCAATGATGAGGTCTCTTAAAGTCAACTTCTAAGTCTTTTGTACGCATCTTTATTTGAATTAACAAGAAGAGATTAAATCAAATTCTTGAAAGTAAAGTCTGTGTCTTATGTCTTGAGAAGACATATGTCTTATGTCAGGTGTTGTGATGTGACCTAAATGCATAATATAGAAAGAAAATCATTAAATATATGTATATAAGCATTTGGATATATTTCTGTGACATTATTCAAAATTCTTTTACTCTTCTTCTAAGTCAGGAATAAGTATTTATATAGTCACATAGTTAAAGGAGAGTAGTTAGATACTAACTAGCAAACTAAGAGTAAAACAAAAGACAGAAAAAAATTAAGTTCTTTCATATCTGACTACCACTAATATACTCATGAAAATGGATACTTTGGAGCATTCTAATTGCAGCCTTTTGGTAAAATGTGTCTTAACCTGTATTGAACTTATTTTCAAGACTACAAATGATGCAAAGGTAGGAAATAAGCTCCTCTAGAAGCATCATATAGTAATAAGGTTTTAAAAACAGTAATATTCAGATCATTTTACTATTGTTGTTTAATAACTGCTTGTAATTTTCCTAAATTAAAAAAAGAGCAAAAATAAAACCTAAAGGCCAAAATTATATTCTATTTCATGAACATGTAGCAAATGTATGTGTTGTCCTTAAATCTTTTTCCCAAACAAGTTTTCATTTTAACAAACAAACACTTTTACAAAGCTGTTCACAATTGTCATTTTCTTCTAGTTAGGTGTGCAGAAAGATGGGCACAATCCTTAGCCGTGCCACATGAGACTACTACATAGACATACGACTGCCTAATTTTTTTTTTTTATTGTACTTTAGGTGAAGGTTTACAGAACAAATATTTTCTCATTAAACAGTCAGTACACATACTGTTTTATGACATTGGTTAACAACCCCACGACATGTCAACAC